TATAAAAAAGACTAGAAATTTGACGATTTGCCAACTTACGTTTCATTCTAAATGCACGCGCAAAGTATCGTAAATGAAAAAGCATTTTTGCACATTCGATATTTTGACATGATAGAGACGATATCTATATATGTATGTATTTTTTGTCCAGGTCATCAAATCTGTCCCGTTCGTGCGATTTACAAAAATGGGGTGTCAAATTAAAAGCTTGGGCTGTAGATGTGCAATAAGGTTTTACTTTTTCCAACAGAGTTGCCACCTGTTAAACAATTAAACTCTAATTAATTATTAATCAGTGCCATTATAATCCGCACCGTTTGTTCGATTTTCAAAAATGAGGTGTTGATTTAAAGGGCCTGGACTGTAGACTTGCAGTTCAATTTTTCGAAAAGAGTTGCCACCTGTTAAGAAATTAAGCTCAACATATTAAAAAAGTTTTATAAATTATTACAATATGGGTACCAAACGAATTGGTTTCGAAAAGGCCTTAACTTTAACTACGTGTAGTAGGATTGCTACATGTTTAAAAGATTTAATTCAATTTTAATTAAAGGAATTAGGTAAGTGAATAAAGGTATCACAATATGGGTGTCAGGCAAAAGAGATTTAAGAAGGTAATGAAATTATTTTGGAAAGGGTTGCCACCTGTTTGAAAAGTTGAATTATATAAATTTATACCCAAGTTATATGAAGTATTAAAAATGGTTGTAAAATTAAAGAGTTTTAATAAATATTTATTTTGACAATTTACAATATTTTTGATTTTCTGAGGGTTGCCATCAGTTCAATAGGTTAAATTCAAATTATTGAATAAGTTAAATGGATTACAAAAAGATGGTTATCAATCGAAATGGGTTTAAAACCCTTTATTTCTGAACTATATTTACTAGGGTTGCCAAATGCTTAAAAAATTTCATTCCACTTAATCAGTTACTTGAAATATTTATAACAATGTCATACGAAAGATATTTAAGAAGATTTTAGTTCGAAAATTAATTTGCAGAGGCCGCCTGCTCTGAAAGTCGAATTTAGTTAAGTTATACACAAATTATACGCAATTTTAAACTCTGGGTATCAAACGAACGCGTGTTTAGAAATATTTAGTTTGAACATTTATAATTTCTTTAGGGTGCCTGAAGACGGTTGCCACTAGTTGAAAAAATTAAATTCAAATTATTTAATAATAATAAATGAATTGTCAATATATGGGTAGCAATCGAAATGAGTTTGAAAATAATTAATTTCTGAACTGTATTTAGGATAGTTGCCACGTGTTAGAAAAATCAAATTCAACAAAATTGATGAGTTAATTGAAATATGTATCGAAAAATATCTAAAAAGATTTTAGTTGAAAAATTATTTTAAAGACCTGTTTAGAAGTCGAATTTGTTTTGCTTATACACAAGTAAAATGATATATCTAAATATTAGTGTGAAATGACAGAGTTTATAGAAAACTTTAGTTTGATAATACTTTTAATTGGGTTGCTACCTATTTTTTTGAAGGTCGCTAGATTTTCATACACCGTTATTTCGAATTTCCAAAATGAGAACTGAAATTAAAGAAGAGGGATTGTACATAAATGTGCAATAACGTTTTATTTTTTGAAGCTAAAGCGTTTTAGCGGTATAGAGTGGTTAGAAGTTTTATGAAAAGAAAAACTGACACCATGCGAAACTTCTCTTCACTCAGAAATGTTTATATGAATCTTATAGAAAATTGTTTGTGGTTTTGAATAGTGTTTCAACCTGTGTAAAAAGTTATATTAAATTTTGACGTCTTAACGCCATCCGGTTTCACTAGTACATATTTATTTCTTCAAGAAAATTATACCAACCGCAAAGATATTTTGCTAGCATCAGAAATAATGAAAAATATTGAGAACTACAATGATATCTTTCTTTTGATGATCAACGAAAATACATTTTTTTGATATATTTTTTTTTATAACAAACAAACGACTTACCTCGCCGGATACTGTACGGTACGCTTAGGCTACTCTTAAAGCTACAGTGCGATGGGCTCTAGAAAGTATCTTGCAACGGTTATTTTTCTGTAGGGTGTCAGCCCAGATCTCCGCTCCGTATAGCAAAATATTCAAGGTTGTGGAATTAGAAGTTGTCTTTTACTTTGGGTTGGTCCACCAATATTGGCCATTAATCTGCTTAGGTAAGCCATTGCCTTTGATGCTTTTGCGGCTGTGTTCTGCATTTGTGCCCAATACGTTAGCCTGGGGTCTAGCCTTAGGCCTAAGTACTTTATTACTCTTTGCGTTTTAATGTAATGCCGGTCAGTTTCATGCTCACTTCTAAGGGAATATGCTTCTTGGTATTAGCTTGGTTTTCTCTGCTGCAAGTTTAAGACCGTGTGAGTCGAGCCATGTCTGTGTTCTTATCATAGTCTGGTTTAATTTCTCATCAGCGTAGCCTACTAAATATGTGTTATCAGGCATCTCAAGGTTTAATATTCTGTCGTAGCTGATGTTCCATAGGTCTGGCCCAAGAATGGAGCTTTGTGCTGCGCCCGACGGTGGTATGGTACAATAACTCCCGGTTACTAGGTAGCTTCTGACCATGAGTCTTAGGTACGTGGGTATGTTGTAGACATCTTCTAGTGCGTGTATCATATTTTTCCATTTTGCGGTGTTGAAGGCGTTGCGAACGTCGAAGGTTGCAAGCAGGACTAGCTTTTTGTGTTGGTATGCGCCTTCTACTGTTGTTGTTACGTGTTTTATAGCCCCAATTGTTGATCTACCGGGCCTGAATCCGTACTGTATTGACGAAAGTCCGCCCTCGATAGCGATAGCCGCTTCTATTCTAGGTTTTAGCAGCCGTTCTAGGAGTTTTCCAGCTGTGTCCAGCATACAGAGTGGTCGATACGCTGTTGGTGAGTCAAGGTTTCCCTTTCCTTTGGTGATTAAGACGAGCTGCTGCCTTTACCAAATTTCTGGGAATATTCCGTTCTTGAGGCAGGCATTGTACATATTTAAAAGCACATGCGGGCATACTGTGGCGATTATTTTTAGAACTTCTGCTGGAATGCCGTCTGGGCCTGGTGCTTTTACTCTATTAGTGGCGGACTTGATCTCTTCTGCGGTAAATGGTGGTATTTCTTGAGGAGCGATGATAGGCTCCATTTCTTTGGTTAATACCTCATGCGTGGGAAAGGGTTCGCTTACTATGTAGTCCATTTTTTGAGCGCTAGGCTCTGGTGGTTTTGCCATGGCACCAAGTTTTTTCATTAACACCTTATATCCGAGACCCCAGGGATTTCTGTTTATATCCTCACGCAGTTCTTTCCACTTTCTGTTCTTGCTGGCCTCGATTGCTCGTTTGTTCTTGTTTAGCAGCTCGGTATAGTTGTACCCCTTCGATTGCAGCGCTTCTACGCCTGGCCCTAGTGTAAGTACGCCTCAGGTGGAGGAACGTTCGTTTTAGTAGAGCTATGTTTTCCGTCCAACAATATGCAGGTCTTTTGTGTCGATTGCTTCCGGTAGTCGGCATGGCTTTGGTACAGGCTCTGGAGATCATTTTCATTATAGTCTCTACTATTTCCATTGCGTTATTTTAAGAGCATTCTTCTGAGCCATGCGCATCTATTTCAGATAGTAGTGCTTCACTATTTAGGCTGGTATTGTCACTTGCGAAGCGAAAAAATTTGGCGAAGCGAACGGTTTGGCGAAAACACCTAAAATTTGCATTATGAGTGGCGAATGAACTTTTTCGCCGGACATGCGTCGCTGCCATTCAAACAAATTAATTGAGTTCATCCTCATTTGACATTTCTGTCATTTATACTTCGAATTCCTTGTTATTACAAACTAAAATTTGAAAAGCAAAATGTTTTATAACGTAGATTTATATTTTGAGGATAGTTATAATGTTGAACCGCGAGCTAACCTTCTTCGTCAGCGGCGTTTTATTAGAGATTAATCTAATCCTATGGAGCTGCCGTTTACAGTGTAAGTATCCAGTGCAGATAGGTTATTCAATGAAACATGAAAAATGTATGCATATATGAATACGTAACGGGTGATTTTTTTGAGGTTAGGATTTTCATGCATTAGTATTTGACAGATCACGTGGGATTTCAGACATGGTGTCAAAGAGAAAGATGCTCAGTATGCTTTGACATTTCATCATGAATAGACTTACTAACGAGCAACGCTTGCAAATCATTGAATTTTATTACCTAGAAAAGTTGGCAGAAAATCCGCTTTTTTATCGACAAATTTTGTTCAGCGATGAGGCTCATTTCTGGTTGAATGGCTTCGTAAATAAGCAAAATCATGCGATTTGACGCCTTTAGACTATTTTTTGTGGGGCTACGTCAAGTCTAAAGTCTACAGAAATAAGCCAGCAACTATTCCAGCTTTGGAAGACAACATTTCCGAAGAAATTCGGGCTATTCCGGCCGAAATGCTCGAAAAAGTTGCCCAAAATTGGACTTTCCGAATGGACCACCTAAGACGCAGCCGCGGTCAACATTTAAATGAAATTATCTTCAAAAAGTAAATGTCATGGACCAATCTAACGTTTCAAATAAAGAACCGATGAGATTTTGCAAATTTTATGCGTTTTTTTTAAAAAAAAAGGTATCAAGCTCTTAAAAAATCACCCGTTATTTATAGATTTATAGCGCATTTTCGTCTAAGCAAGGACGCTTTTATGTATGTGCTGGACAAAAGCAAGGACAAATTTAATTGCCGCCTGTCCTCATCTGTAAAGCTAACGCTAAAATTGTTTTGCGCACTGAGATTTTTTGCGCAGTTATCAGAAAGCTGTAGGAAATGAATTTCAATTGGGTCTTGGACAACCTACAGTTTCACTCGTTTTAAAGGAGGTATTGCCCATTTTAGAAAAACAAATTTGCATTGCTCGATAATCACAGAAATGACAGAAGAAGAGAAGCAACAGGCAAGGAGCAAATTTTACTCCAGATCAGGGATACCCAACGTGATTGGCTGTGTTGACGGAACACTTATTGCGATTTATGCCTCCACCGCAAATAGACACCTCTATCTAAATAGAAAAGGCTTTTTTAGTATAAATGCTATGATTGTAAGTTTTTATGAAATGAATACAGCAACACTGATAAAGAAATTGTATATTAAAGGCTTGCGATCATGACATGAATATCCGGTTTGTGGATGCTAGATATGCTGGTTCTACACATGATTCGTTCGTGTGGAACAATAGTTCATTAAAGACTTATTTGGAGAATATGCATCAAAGTGGCGATCATAACTCTATTTATTTAGGTACTTTAAATTTGTTACATTGGCTCAAAATTAATGTAAATACTATTTTAAAACAAAAACTACTTATTTGTAGGTGATTCCGGATACCCGTTTAGTCCTTATTTACTAACACCCTTCCGCCATGCAGACTCTGGAACAAGGGAGCCAATTTTTAATAAGAAGCACGCGAAAGCTAGAAACGTCGTTGAACGTACGATCGCAGTTTTGAAATGTCGCATTCGATGTCTCCTGAGCAGTGTTGCCATTTTAGGCGTTTTCCGGCTAGATTTAGCCGGATGCGATAGAAAACAGCCGGAGAAATTTCGGTTTAGCCGGAAGCCGATTTGTTAGCCGTTTTGTAAAAAAAAAATTAGCCGATTTTGCTATTTACCTTGCTTTCTTAAAATTCACATATATATGTTTCCATTTTTGACTAAGCGACCCAAAATCTGTTAGAAATGGCTACTAGCCTTATCGCGAATAAAATTTTCATGACAGGCAGGGTTATATAAAATTTAGCCGATTTCGCGTATTTTTTATTTTAAACGAATATATTTTTTCTAAAGAAGGCCGTAGCAGGGATTTTTTTACATAAAATGTTTATTATGAATGACTTAAATTTAAGTGTGAAGTTTTATTCGCAAACTTAGAAAATAACAAATTTTTTCCCTGGTTGCACGCGTTAACATGCTCCCAAATTCCCACACAATTAGAGGAACTTGCAAATTTCTGCACGAACGCTAGTGTCCACGGTTGCTTTTCAAACATAAGAAATTTGTATAGAATTTTTAAAATTCTTTCAGAAGGGCAAAAAAAAAGAATCCTCTAAGTTCTTCAACATATGTTCCAATTTCTTTGTCGTAGTAACTATCGGGTTTCCTATACCGACTCCGGTTGAGATTGCATTTCGAGTACGTTTCAAATCATTGCAAGTATTTACTTAAATTTTTCATTTTAAAATCGCTCAAGTTTTTAAATTTTTACATTTGATGAACCTGTTTACTCAAATTATCGTCGACAAAAAATTCAACCTTGTGCCACAATCATATGTTTTTCTTAATTACAAATTCTTGCTTGTAAAATTTTTTCCAGCTAGAATTCGCCACTTATCTCCAAGAACTAGTCTTGGAATAAATCATGTGAAATTTAGTTGAAACAGTTTCGCCGTTTTTAGCCGTTTTTTTTTGCCAATTTAGCCGGTTGGCCCAAAAAGTTCTGGCAACACTGCTCCTGAGTGATCGAAAAATGCGCTACGATCCTGCTAAAGCAACTTCCATTATAAATATTTGTTGCGCTTTCCATAATATTTGTAAGAAATTTAGAATCAGTGATCCAGATGAAGCTGAAATTTTTATTGATATCGTTGTATCATCAGAACCAATCAGTGAAGATACCAATAATACATCAGGAGAGCGCCGCAGAAGGCAAATAGCTGATGCTTTGTTGTAAAATTAATTGCAGTTCGGTTTATTGAATAAATTCAAAATCATTTACCTTACTTTTGTTCTTTTTATTTTATTTTATACTTCAGAATTCTTTATTATATACATGTTAAATTAAACCTAATTGCTTCTATGCTCTTAAACTAAATAAAAATCATAAGTTGAATTCAGTACCTTCATCAAATATTAAACTTAAAATTAATTCATCACATGCTTTTATATATTAAAATAATAAGTCACAAATTAAATTCAGCCGTTAAAAAATATTAAACTTAAATCTAGTTCATCACATTTTTTATAAGTAAAAATAAAAAAATCACAAATTCAATCAACATAAAGAAAAGATGGATATGAAACTAAAGAATGGGAACTAAACCTGAAAATACAACCAAAAGTAGTTTGTAACAATATAAAGTCTACTTTTGGATGTATTTTAATGTTTTTAGTTCTAACTCCTTCAGTTTAATTTCCATCTTTTCCTTATGCTGTCTTTTCTTCTCTAAAATTTCTTCCCTATTCCTTTCTTCCTTTAATTTCAATAAATTTAGTTCTTCCTTTTTAAATCGTACGTCTTTCTCGTATACCTCGCGATTTCTTCCAGCTTCTTCTCAATATTTGAAATCCGCTCGCAAAGTTTGTCTTGCACTTCAGCCTGCTTTTCCAACGCTTTGATCCGAATGTTTTCTCGATCCTCAACTGTCATCTTTGGCCGTGGAGTTGATGATTGCGGTACCAAATCCGCATCCGGAGCTTGTTCGCCCAGTGACTCCTCTAAATAAATTCCGTTGCCACTCACCGCATTTTCTTCCACGTTCGGTACAAATGAAGAGCCTGCTGGGTTGACTGCTTTCTGAAAGTGGAGAAGCTCTAGTGGTGTTAAGCTTTGTTGTGTATAAGGTCCTCCTCCTGTGGCCACAGTTTCTCGTCGGTTTGTCGCTATTTTTGGTTTTAGCTTCAGCTTGTAATCCAACCAAACCTAAATAATACTCATAAGTAACTACGGCAACACAAACTAGTTCAGTTCTTACCTTATTCTACTCGCGTCCGTTACGCATTGGAGGACCAATGGCGTTAAGTTCAGTTGCAAACTTTTCCCACAGCTCTGCCCTGCTTTTGTTCGTGAAACCGAAGCTTCCCATTCCTCTAGCGACGTCTGCATTGCTTTCCATAATTACAACCAGCTTTTGGAACTGCTGCGTTGTTGTCCGTTTTGTTCTGGAAATTTTGTTTTGTTAAATAAAATTAAATAAATTTTATTTAAGGACAAGCACACCTAAGAAGTTAAACATTCTAATAATAGAAATATTATCAAAAACCAACAAACCCAACAACCACATGATCAAGTGAATTGCAGCGGAATAGCTGCGCTTGATTGTAGTTGGCTAAGCAAAGTGAAATAGTGGAATATAAGCAACAAGAATTAACAAGACAAACTTAGCACAGTAGGCAACTGGCTGAGTCAGTGGTGATCGTCGTTTCGAATCCTACTGAAAGAAGTCTGATGAGGAAATGTGGTGATTTCCGAAATAGCTATCACTTCTACCATTTTTTCGAATTATTGTTGCTTTTCCACAATAAGTTTTCACTTAAAAACGGCCTCAAGCTCATAAAAATTGTTAAATTAAATAAATTAAATTAAAATTTACTCACGTTCTTTCCATTTCAAACGCGAACCAAATAAACAGTCTACAAATTTTGACAGCCCTGGCGAAGCGAATGTCGCTTTTTCGCTAGTGGCAATGTAAGAAATACATTTTCGACAAAAGGTCGCCATTTTGCGGCGAATTCGCTAGAAATTCGCGTCTCACAATTCGAGACAGCGAAATTCGCCGTTATTTGCATTCGCTTCGCAAGTGACAATACCAGCCTTAATTTCGAGACATTCCATTTGCGAGTGCTACATTGCAGGTTCTTCCGTAAACTATCGTTGTTGGAGTCTATTTTAAAAAAGATGTAATGGTGATCGCTACAAGTTTAATCTTCCATTACTTTCTATTCCTTTATGGTGCCTGCTATACCTTCTGATGCTAGTGTGATGTCTGGCGTGGTTTCCTCGCATCCTGGTCTTCGGAGGGTTGTTGCTGCGCCAGTATTGAGCACTATAAATCCGAGTCGGGCTGACATTTCTAGCACGCGTTTGCCTATGAAGTCCGTACTATTCAAATCATTGAAAAGTAATGAAATGCGCGTAATTACCATATCAAGAATGATAGAATACAAGATTGTGCCAATCGAGCTGAGAGCAACCGGGCGTGACGTAAACAAACACCAAAATGAGAGGGCAAAACGAACTCGATAAGAAAAAGAGGAAGCATCGAACAAAAGGCAGTATTTGTAGGCAGTAGTTTTGAATTTGAAAAAGGACCAAATTTTTATTGGTGCCGATTCAAATTAATAAAAATCAATGTTTCTTGCACGACTTTCGATTTCTTCTGGCATGATTGAAGGTGCTGCCACATATTTTGTTGTCGCTTATGATTGTTACTGTGCCATGATTTTGTTTAAATTTTTGCAAAGCTGCTTACCACACCTACGATTGCTAAAAATTTTGCTTCCATTTTTTTTAAGATTTACAAATTTGGTGTCTTCAAACTAAAAACAAAAGAACCAAAAACGCACCAAGCACCAAACTCAAAAATTTTCGCGTTTTGAGTACCCACTAAATTTGGTGGAAAAAGCACGAAGTTGGCAACACTGAATGTAAACAAAAGTATTGTGGGACATCAGCGAATGGGGGGAAGCTGTCAAATCGACGAAGAGACGGTCATCGGTCCGCGAATGGCGCCACTTTCATTTTCTGCACCGGGTTACCGTATAATAAATTTACAAAACTCTCCTGTGAAAGCTTTCCGACGGAGCTATTTGGTTTTGTCGTCATTGTCGCGAAAATTTTTTCAGACTGACAATCGTCGACAATATTCCATATTATCACTGTCGTTTCCAAAAATTTTCCCAGTTGCCTATTATTGGAAAGTAAAATGAAATTGGAATATCATTAAATGTCAAACGAAACAGAGGAATATAGGACTATCAAAAGCATGCTTATGTATATGTATGAATAAGTCCCTCTTTTGCTTTGTCTTCTAAACCATGCGGACGTCTTTTATTTTTTGCACTGGAATTAGGTAAATTCCCTGCGTCGTCAATAAATATCTTACAGGTTATGAGCCATCCGCAGCCTATTCTAGTCTAAAATAAAAAGTATTAATTCCACGAACTTGCCGAAATATATCGTCGTTTAAAGTACAAAACCGCATATCGTGATTCCGCAAAACCGCGTAACTGACATTGGCTGCCAAAAATTGAATTTGCTCACACGAGCTCTTGGCTCAATCCTTATCCATTCGTCCTGAAATATACTAGGCAGATATGCGATTGTTTTATAAAAAAGAGAACCATTTTGAAATATGAGTGTTTTTACGCTCTGGAAAATAATTTCTACAACTTCACAAACGCGGTTTTGCATTTTGCTGATACGCGGTTTTGCACTTTAAATGACGATATTTTCTTGGTATTTCGCAAGAAAACACCATTTTTATTACCGGCGCTTGCGATCGTGTTGGCAAATACGAATAGCAGAAGAAGCTGAAGGAAGATTAAAATGGCAACACATCAATTATCATTTAATCGTCTTAAAGGTCGGGAAAACTACGCAGAATGGAAGGTCG